AGAAAAAATTGTGCAATGTGTGTTTTCGCCGATATTTGAATTGACTTCGTTTATGGAATAATATATCATTAAAATACAATGTAACATATAATTCAAATAAAGCCACAGAAGGTTTTCATGTACATGTATGTGTAAAGTTTCGGTTGTCAGAGTCTTGGAACAGATCACGGTTCCATTTGGTTCTGGTTCCAAAAATCGAATGTTGTTTTGTCTTGATCTGGTTTTCTGGAATGAAATAACGAGAATAATAAATGATGAGCAAAGCTTGTGAACGAATGTGCATAAACATATAACACTATATAACGTACCGTAATCAATGTTGTAATATCTGTGTCAATATACTTTATTTACGGGCTATTAAACCATGCGTTTTCAATAGTAATTCTGACTTTTATAACCTGTTCTGCATTTGTTTTCCAAATGTTCAATTCCACAATGTGTCATTTTTTGGGTTGTCATTAAGATATGTTGTTGTTGTTTTTGTTTTATATATATTGGTATATAATCTGAACTGATTATATTCCTAGAATGCAAATTGTTTAAAAACAACTTACGGTTGTACTTTCCGCTTTGTAACCTTTGCCCTGCAACATATGTAATATATAAATGTTTTAAATAAATATTGTAACGCCTATCTCAGACTGAACGAGGCAAAAGTTACCAGCATTATTAAGGCACTTGATATTTTGAATTGCTTGAGAAAACAAAATGATAATACATTTTTACATTATTTAAATAAGAGAAACTCAATTTAATGAATGTAAGAAACACTTAAGACAATGTATTGTTGTTCTTCGCTAGATTTGCAAAATTTCTTAGGAAGACAACATTATTTGCTCAGTGTACATCTATGTACATTATATATTTTATTCAGAGTGCTCACTTTCTTTGGTAGTAAAGATCACTTTCTTTGATAGTTAATCCAGTCTTTGTCGTGCAATAATATAGAATAACTTGACTTTTTTATTCAGATACTTATGTTTATCTGTGAAACGACTTACCGTCCATTTTTCCATTTTGTAAATGTTTTGAATTTCTTCATACACAAGTATAACGCCAGGCCAGCTAGAAGAGTGCCAATTACAGCGGATAAAACCACTACCATGATGTTAACCGGTTCATCCCAGAAAGAGGTTGTTGTGGGCGTTGTTTCGGTGGTTGTTGTTGTTATTGTTGTTATGGTTACTGCTGCCGTCGTTACACTAGCTGTATTGTTGGTCTCCTTAATAATAATTATAAAAAAAATAATAAACTTTAAGGCACGAATAAATATACCCTCTTTCAGAAGGGGAAAATATGAATTTTATAACGTTTCGATAATGGTGTTTGAACGTGTAGGTTGCTTCTTATCTGACGGTACTAGACCTAGCAATGACTGTAAAACAGTTTTGTTATAAAAGTCGCAAAATGTTAACAAAGTTTTATGTTGGACTTCCATACAATAAAGTGTTACTCTACCAATTGCTAATTAGCAGCAGAAGTAAATGATGGCCTAGGTAAAAGTGTAATGAGTTACGTTTGAAAACTTAAAAAAAAACTTGTAAGAAAGAAAACAAATCATTCTGTGACATAATTGGATTTATTTTACATAATAATATAGTAAAACAGAAATGTTGCGCTACATTTCACATAGGTAATTTTGTATTGCCGGTTCATGTTGAACTGATGAAGACAAGCAAAAAAGGTAAAAAAAATGGCGAATAAAGTAAATAGGAGAAGTATTGTTTCTTAAGATGATAAAATGACGAATTTATTGACTCATTGAATACTACTATTTTAGCCTTTTATCTGCTGATTTATTCAAATAAAATGGATTACGCATGCGTGGAATATATTAAGAACATTCCATACAAAGTTCAATACAAAACGGGGCTGGTGACGAGGATTGACCTAAAGACACGATGATAATTATTTTATACTAGTAGATATCATATTTGAGCCGCGTAACGACAAAACAAACATAATGGGTTTGCGACCAGTATGGATCCAGACCAGCCTGCAATCAGTTTCTCTACTTGTTATAGAGTTTGTAAGCGAACGGCATGGATCCTGATCAGACTTTGCGGAAGCGCAGGCTAGTCTGGATCCATGCTGGTCGCAAACCTATTATGTTGGTTTTGTCGTGACGCGGCTCATTTCTATTAACCTTATAAATTATATCCAGAGTTGTCGTACTTGACAGCGGTGGCGTTCCATGGTCCGTCGCTGTTATGGTAAACGTAAATATATCGCCGTACGTCATAGATATTGCTGGATACGTCATAAGAAGTACCCTACCATTCGAATTCATATGAAAGAAAGATCCGGAACCAGAAGTTATCTGCGTCCATGTATATGAAATCTCCGCATTTAAGTCGGAATCTGAAAGAAATCGAAGGAATGTTTCTGACATTATCATTCATAATATTGGAAATAAGTTTATAGGATACCCTTTTAAGTTTAACATATACATCTTTTGCGAATGCATAAAAAAGGTATTGCATGACCGTGCATATGTATTTTGACGTGAGTCAATTGCGCAGAGGCTCGCATAAAATATTTTTAATCAACTCGTTCAATAAAATTCAGTTTAAAACTTACACTCATTCAATATCCCATATTTAATGATATTTAAAAAACAAACTGAAGATCGACAGACAGGGCAGAAATCAAAACGGATCTTGATTGATTTGATGAGCGGAAGTAGCATTAGTCTGGTTCTTTGTCTGCTATTCTGCGATAATGTTGTAACTTGGGCAATTAATCCAGAGTTATCTATTATCCATCCATGACGTCTACATACAAATAGTTTGTTAGATAGAATGTTATATTAGTTGTCAGTCATACTTTGTAATTTCTTACTTCATAATCTGTTCGGCTGACGCGGATCTAGCATAGTTTGTCTCGTATGTGCAACATCCTTACATTTATCAACTTACATTTCTAGTGAAAATCACTAAGCAAAATTTGTTGAAATCTGCAAAATTTTGAGTAGTGACCCTTTCTGGAAAACTAGTAAACTAGTAAAATGTCAAACCTTTCTCCCCCAGTAAAATATGCGAAATATTGAGACTACCTATGACGAAAAAGGTTTCTTGTTCCGCGCCTGATCGATACAAATGTCATCTTACACTGGGTATTATGTACAAAACAACTGTTGATCTAAGGCATATGATATGAAAAACGACACAGAGGCTTCACTATAGCAACCAACCTTTATCCTTACACATCATATTCATCAATCTGACCGTTGTTGTCGGGCTGTCGGACTGATCAATGTAAGATATATAACCGGTATTAGTGAACTGTGGAACGTTATCATTTACATCCTCAATTGTCACACTAACTGTTGCTGTACCTGCAGTATAAAAATGAATACAGTGATACCTGTGAATAAAGGTCGCCTATATGAGAAACAAAACATGGTCATTATAGACAGGTGGTCATAATGTGGAGTTACTTTTATTTCATTTTATCAATAAAAGGTTATCAAAGAGTCGTTGGTCTTTATTTACAGGGTAACCTTTATTCAAAGGTGGTTCCTAACACAAGTTTGAACAAAGGAAATTATAATATATTTGTTAATCCTTTGTTAATGTCATTTAGATTTAAAAACAAAACTAAAAATGACACTCATGCAGACAATTGACAGAAGCATAGCCCGTCCTTATATATCGCAAAGATATCACATGGTATACATACCTTCTTCTTTGGTGATTGTCGGAACCATAATTATTATGTGTAATGAGTCAATGGGCGTGTGAGTTATTTTGTTTAACTTTCAAACATTCAGTTCCCTAATGCTAAAACACTAGTTCGAAGAAGGACCTACTTTAGGCATCATAATTGTCGCGAATAAAACCAAACTTTGGTTAATTCTTATACTAATAATTAAGTCATTATAATTCTATAATGAATGATGTAATTGAGTTGAGAAATAAAACAGCCAAAACTGGATTAATCGAGTATAATATACATCCAAAAATCGAACTATTGCGTATAATAAAACATCCAAAAATGTATCAATTGAGTATTATTTAACATCCAAAAATGGAACAATTAAGCATGAAAAGGATTATAACAATGTCATGCAAAAAAATGGAATAATTGAGTATTATATAACATATAATAATGGAACAATTGAGTGTAATATAATATCCAAAAATAGACCAAATGAGTGTAAAATAGCATCAAAAAAATGGAACAATTCAGTATAATTATAAATATCCAAAAAAGATTCAGTTGTGATCATATACCATCCCAAAAAAATGGATCAATTGTTATTACCGGTCAGTCCTGCAGAATCCGTACACACTGCAATAAGCGTTACGTTAGTTGAATGTGACGTATCAACGTCATAAGCCGTTGCAAATGTTATAATCCCCGACGTTCCTTCAATGGAGAAATACGAACTATCTGACGTTGCGGGATAATCAATAGAGAACGTGTAGGTGTCGCCTAAATCTTCATCTGTAATAATGAAGCCCGGGTCAACTGTCACTGATCCAGCCTACAATAATATGTAGAGCTATTTTCTAATAAAATCAAAAATGATTAAAGAAATCGTTTTATCTTTTCTCCCGATTTTCAAGGAATTCAACTGAGATCCTTAAGCCTAAAAAATGTGTTATCATTTCTTAAGTAGACCAGCAAGAGCATTTAAACAGGACGATACGCAACAGATAAGTGAGAAATGGATTCAGAAATAATTTAAAACATGTTATTGTCAATGTTTTTGTTATTCGCCCCCCCCCCCCCCGATTTGCAAAGTTTTTCAATTTTTGTCATTATTGATAATTAGAATAAAAAATTCTTGATAAATGCAGTGCGCGAATAATCTGAGGTGGGTTTTATTGCACATCGGAAACCACGACAACAACAACATTACTGACATTATTAGCAGTTATATACATGTCAGATACGTTTCACTTGTTTTAATGAAAATGAGGATGTTTGGACTGGAATTCCCATGCGTGTATTACATCAAAATATGAGCATAAAGACTGTGGTGCCAACTTCATTTTTTAGTATTGCCAGCCTAATACTAACGTTTCCTTCAAACATTGTGACGTAATAAGTCGAGACGTCAAAGGAACACTTTTCGGGAACATCGTTGATGTACAGTGTTAACGTGTACGGGCCATTTATGGCCTTTCCATCAGTTGCCATAAATTCTATCCTGAAATAATTAACCTCTTCGTAATCGAAATATTCATTTGACTGGAGTCTCAGATGTTTGCCTGAAAATGCAAAATAAAATGAGCCGTGTCACGACAAAACCAACATAATGGGTTTGCGCCCAGCATGGATCCAGACCAGCCTGCGTATCCGCGCAGTCTGATCAGGATCCATGATGTTCGCTTTCAGCTTCTCTACTTGTTATAGGTTTTGTTAGCGAACAGCATGGATCCTGATCAGACTGCACAAATGCGCAGGCTGGTCTGGATCCATGCTGGTCGCAAACCCATTATGTTGGTTTTGTCGTGACGCAGCTCAAATTGAACTTTAATTTAATTTGGTATCATTTTAGCCATTAAAGTGACAATTTCGACTGTACTCGTACATGTACATTATGATGTTTGGAAGTAGTTTGACATAAATGAAATAGTAACACAAGTTTGTGTACTAAATAGTCAGTGAGTCGTGAATAAGAAACTGGTCTCATGCGTTGGTAATTTTGCAATTTTAGACCTCGAAATCCAATACATACTTTCTATAAAAGTCATCCTTATAAAAAACGCCGAAGAACCTAAAACCAATGAGACTTTTAAGACAAAAACATTATATACATGTAGATATATATCCGAATATGTGCAATTTCATATTAAAAAAATAAATAAATAAATGAGCCGGTCAATAGTAAACAGAGCAGTAAGGCCGATGGCGTAATTTACCGCCATTTATACTGGAAATAATTTTATTTATCTTACATCGATCGTTGCTGGTCTCGTTTCTTACCATCTATACGAAAAACATATAAAATGATGCGCTTTTGTATTAAAGTTTACATAATGACTTTAAACGAATTACCTTGGTGAATATAAAATTTTGAAGTGTAAGCTGCTGGCCAGACGGTGAAGGTCAATGTCACACTGTCACTAGGGTCAGGGTCACTAGTGTCCAATGTGAATATTACACTGTTAGTTCCCATGTCCTCGTCCTTATATACAGTGAATGGAAGGTTCTCTATAATCGGCACCGTGTTGGTATCTGAAATAGGAAAATATATATTAAAACAGTTATAATTGATATAGTTCATGTAAATGTGTTGTAATGCTTCCGAGGGATTATTCTTTTTCCAGATATTTCTTATATTTCTGCAATACTTTTCATTTATAGAGTTTTTAAACGAATTCATAATGCATGTATAGACGCAATAATGAGTTTCAGGGAAGTAACTAGCGCTTCATTCTTGGAACTCAAGATTTTGATTATCTCCCTTCATATGTAATGTAAGTGGAGCGTAGCTTTATCTCTGTTCAAACCAAACGTTTGCTTATTTCTGGAACAAATAACATATTCGTGGGAATATTAATTGTCCTTTGTTTCTATGACCTTTTCATTTTGTTGTTGTTGTTGTTGTTGCATTTGGAGACAAAGCAACCATGTGATAATAATATCACGTATCATACGTGAAAACTAGCCATGAAGGAATTTGGGTCGAACCAATAGAAAACAAAATTATGAAAAAATCTCGACAGAGCCCTTCATGGGACAACTTGCATACTAAACTTTTAATCTGCTACCAGGTACATCTTTAAGACACTCCAAAATCTGAAATTCTTACTAGATAGTAAAATCTTCAAATCTGCACTGGTGGTGGATTTGGAATCGGATACTGTGACCGTTAGTAGGTAAGCACCGTCAACTGCATATGTCAGATCCTTTACCACTGAAATTTCCCCACTCACTGAGGAAAAGAAAGAAAGAAAGAAATGTTAAAGATACCAATTTACACCTCAATGTTTAAATTTACGAGATAAAAAAAAACTCATTTACACAACTTTCATTTTTCATCATGAAATCCAATAAAGAAATCCAATATACTTTATATTTTGATATAACATATCTAGATATAAGTTTACCTTACCTGCGTCGATTGAAAACAAATCAGGCGTAGCCGGAAATGACGTCATCGAGAACGTCAACGACGCACTATCAGCATCCGCTGCTGTCACGGTAAATACATTCGTACCCATGCTAGAAGAGCTGGCATCTAAAGACAAATTGTCTGGAGAAAAATAATATTATTTATTACATAATTATATTTAGAAATAAATAAATAAATTAATTAATAAAAACTTTTATTATAACACATCGGGTTTTCTTCATTGTTTGATTCATAGAATAATAGAATCTATAATAATTATTTTTAATAATTAGATTGAATAATTTTCTGTGGCGAGGTGTATATGACAAAATGGTTACAACCAGTCTATGTCGAAAATAGATCTCGAAGTACTGTATATAATGTGAACTCGATTGATGTGATATAATATAAAAGCAGTATGTTATAAATCACATTTTTTTCAATCACATTTTTTTTAATAAAATAACAATGTGACGTCACTTTATATTACCTGGAAGGTTGGTGAACGTTGGAGCGGAGTTTGGTGTTATGAATACTACAATATCTGATGTGGAGGAACCAAAGTCGTCCCAACACTCTATAGTGACAGTGTATGTAGGGGTTGTACTAAAGCTCAAACCTGGATTGCTTTTTAAATACAGCTGATATTCTGTAGATAAGAATAAAGAACAATTTTATGACTATCGTCCATCAGTTACTTAAAGACACAAAAGATTCAGAAATGAACACATTTTCCTCTTTAAAAAAGACAAAAGTGTGATTAACAATGGAGTTTTGCGTGCATTAACATCTGTAGAAGCTCGAAGGCGTATTAAAAGTCCGAGTCTGCAGGACGAGGGATTTAATAAGTAGTTGCAACAAAATACGTGCAACAAGGTCGCTTGGTCACAAGAATCTTTCCGCTAATTCATGTTTTCTTCCCCGTTAATGTATATATGCGCCAGGAGTTTTAATGCATGAATGTCGTAATAATGTTTTACATGTAAGGGCATGTTAGATGCTAATCATCAAATTTAAAGAAAATGGCGCCTAATGTAAAGTAATTTATCAAACATGTAGTAAAATGTTAAGAGTCATTAACTCTACTATAATACCAAACACTTTATCATTACAAATGTACATACATGTATTACAAATGATGCAAAAGGTTGTTAAGCTGCATGGTCAATTAATAACTTTTTCGAAAATGTATAAGCTTATTAAAAAGTGTTACGAAATATAACATTTGACCGGGCTTATTGGGCCTTTAAAGAAATATCAAATGTATTTGTATAAATATTTTCGCACAGAATCATCCCGAATCCTGAGAAGCAATGAGTTCATTAATTTTATAAAAACTGCTAATTAAACGTTTTGCTTACATGTATGCATGTATACCTACCCAAAGCTGTTGAATTCCACCACATATCAAATATGCTAGACGTCGGGTTACTGTATTTGACGTCACAAACAAACGGATCGTTTTCAACGTCACTGACGTTTGGTGTATAAAGCTGTGTTTGTACATCGATGTTTTCGTTGACTGAGATCGGTGATGTTGCAGGTGTTACAGATGGAGGCTGATTTGGAATGACGTCAATCTGAATCCAGGTACAGAGTGACGTCACTTATACATTCAGTATCATAAAGGCTTAATAAAATGGTTCATAGTGACGTAAAAACTAATAATATGACGGCCCGAGACGTCAATCTTAAATAATTCTTAAAATATGGAGCATGTAATTATACAAATCGTATGAAAAATCACAATAACTCTTGATTTATGAATTAATTGAAATAATACAAGGTTTTCAATGTGTTACGCCATAAGGAAGTATTCAAATATTTTTACACATTTGAAACGGAAAAGGTTCACATCGGGAACACCAGCAAAGGTCCTCAAAACTTGTCTTTTTTAATCAGATAGTACAAAAATGCAATGAATCTAAATTATGCTTCAGAACTACATATTTTAAGCGTTTACCAGTATATTTGTTGTTCCGATCTCTGACTGGGTATCAGTGCACGATACTGAGAGAGTGAACGAGGGCAATGTGTCGTATTCTATTCCTCCTCCTGTCAGCACGTACAATTCAAATACTGCAGACGGTTAAAAAAAATGCAGATGATAATAGCATAGCAAACAAAAATAGTAAAGTAGACGATAAGAACATAGCGTACGATAACAACATAGCAGACGATAGCAATAAAGCAGGCAATAACAAAATAGCAGACGATATAATGACGTAGCAAGCGATAATTATACAGCAGACGATATCCACATAGCAGATGATAACAAAATACCAGACGATAGAAACATCGCAAACGATTACAACAGAGCAGACGATAGTAACTTAGCAGACGATGACTAAATAACAGACGATAACGAAATAGCAGACGATAGTAACATAGCAGACGATATTAACATAGCGGACGATAACAACATAGAATCATAGCAAAAGATGGCAATATAGCAGACGATAGTTAAATAGACGATAACAACATAGCAGACGACAGTAGGTGATAAACATGACAGACGATAGTAACATAGTTTCGTCAAGTAAAGAAACTTCCGTTGATTTACATCATGTATATTATTTAATTGCAATACTAATTAGCTGAAATGACGTTTGCGTAATAATTTCACGTTTTCTCTTTTTATTCATTTAAGCTTAGAACAAAAATCAAACTAAATACATAATAACTTGGAGGCTACGAAGTTTTTTAAAATTATATCAGTGGTATCATTTTGCAATTTGCACATATTATGTACATTGTACTTAACTAATGTAAAAAATATTCATTAACTAACGTGTATTATCAGCAATGTTCTGCCTGATGTCGAACTCTCCTGAGTCCCCGCTGTGAGTACATGACGTCACGTCACTACCGTCAGGATCGATGACGTTGAACGAATCGAGCAGTGTTTCTGTCGTGGCATCTTCCCGGACTTGTATCGGCACACTTATGTTTGAAAAAACTGGAACCTGATTATGTAACCATATTAACCATTTATTATGATCATGAGATGCAAAATACCCCTCAGTATTTAGTGTTTTTTTCCAGTACAAAGAGCAAACAAACTTATGTTTTAACTGTGGATTTAGAAAACTTTAGATGTTCATCACTTTAGTTAGTAGTGCCACGTGTGAACATTTATGCTATAGATAGCAAAAAATATTAAACAAAGTGGTATTTTGACTTCTGTACAATTTACTATTATCATTTTCATAACTGCATTTTTTTCCAAAATGACAATTCAGCTATATGGCAAAATAGTAATGTATAATAAACTGTAACAGGACATCAAAAATGAAAAGACCATTTTCAAAGTATCACTAGAAAGAGATGGCGTGCCTGAATAATGCCATGTCGTGGGGCGCAATGTGACAGCACGAAAATACGTTTGTCGTATTTTGCTCCGCGGGGCGAAAAGTAAGACAAAGTTAGCAGTCGTATCATCGTGTTTTCGCCTGGCACCCCGCGGAGCTAAAATACGACATGGTACAAATAAGTCACCATAAGAACCCGTTCATGCACATATCACGTGCACGACAGTTATATTCTTTGATATTTATAACATACACGTTATATTATATTGTGTATATATTAAGTGAACCACACTGTGGTGCCGTTATATGTCGCAACGACGCTAAATGTTGCACTTGCCGCTAAATGTCGCACTTGCCGCTAAATGTCGCATTTGCCGCTAAATGTCGCACTTGCCGCTAAATGTCGCACTTTTGGCATCAGTTTCGGATGAATTCAACACAACGAAAAGTTAAGAAAGATTCAATTAAACTGAAATCACAGATCAAATTTTTGTTTATATATATTGTGTCCGCCTTTCATCTACAAGCATGTTTGCCTGCGGTTTTATCGGTATTAAATGTATTATACTCCTTTATTGTATATGTGCTATTTTTTGCCACTAACAGATTACAATTTTACAAATTTCATTTATGCAATCGTCACTTAACGTGACGTTCCCAGTGCGTCTTTTCTTGAGACTATTATAAATTCTGCATTTGTGGGCAGAAATATATTTACTATGATGATGAAAAAGTTCTGAAACTTGTTCACAGTCTGACAGGAAATCAAGCGCACTCTTATTTTATTATTTTATTCGTAGTGTACCTTTATCCACAATAGAGGCTTTAAACTACATTGTGACTTTTTTTCTGATTACTAAAAACATGTTAATTTGAAAGGTGCATCGAAAATGAGTTTTATTGACACGAAGTTAAAGGGAAAACAAGATTCGAAACGATCACATTTTCCTATGTATGTAAGTAATATGTTATGTCATTCACTGTTGTGTTCATAGACGTAGGTATTCGTTCTATTATTATATTTTCACGTAATGTGACATGGCTTCGGATTGAAGGACTTATTTTGATTTGAAATTAAGTTTAATGTGTGTCATTAAAACGTGTTTTAACTTCGGTGCACCTATCGTATTCTTGAGATAATATAACAAATGAATGTATAAAGGCATATGCTACAGTTACATAGGCATAAACTGTATAATACAATGTTTTAAAATACTGGATGAGCATTTGCGTACATATGACCACTGTTAACACCACTGCACATTGACAATGCTGGAACCGAAATTCTTTACCAATATAGAGATACATGTATGCGTACTTTTAGAAATTTTGATGTTCCCAAATTGATAGAAAGTTCTAAAAAATGGGATTTTAATAAACCAATTTAAGACTTATTTGTGAAAATAAGCCTTCTTATCAATTACACATGTACAATAATAAAATGGCATATTTTAAAATCTACCTTGTAATGAAAGGGGGGACAACTATTTGTCCATTTCTCGTAAGAGATGGGGAAATCTTGTGATGATGTGTATATGGTCGCACGGTCACTTTCTTACATGTCCTCTCTGTGAGTAAATGGTCGAAAATCTCTAATATATTGACAACGTTTTCAAAGAAGTTTTGGCATTGAACCGTCTGGTGCAAAATCTTCTTGTTCTTAAAAACTGTTGAAATGGTAATAAAGACTTGAAAACATATTAGGACTTATTTACTTCTGTTAGGTAGTTTTAAAGGCATGAGTTAAGGACTTTTGCAATGTCTGTAAACTATTTAGGAATTTGAATGTCCTAATAAGTTTGTTTTTTAAACACTTATTAGGAGAAATATATAATCTTTATTTTTTTGTATAAAAAACCTTAATAGAAGGTACAAAGTTCAAATTAGGTTTCTTTTTATATTTAAATTAGTGTTTTGAAGTAAAATAGTATTTCCCAACTCCTGATAATGATTTTATTCCTTCTAATTACGTTTTTAAAATTTATAATGTATAGTTTAAAAATTGTAATACCTAGGTTTATTGATCCTTATAATGAGTAAAATTCCTATTTAGTTTTCAAATTGTTATAAGATTTTTATTTTTAGGAGAATGAAAAAAAAACTAATAAGTTTATTTTTAATTACAAGTGAAAAAGTCCTTATTAGACCTTTAAAACTCCTAAACGGTAGTAAAAAGTAGTGAGGCTTTTTTAATCCTTATGATGATTTCAACAGTGTTTTTAGAACATCAAGATTTGGCACCAGAAGGTTCTATTCAAAGACACCTTTGCAAACGTTGTTATTGAGATTTTCGACCATGCGACCACATACATGCATCGAGGACATATAAGGAAAGTGACCGTGCGACCACATACACGCATCACAGGATTCCCCTTCTCTTACGAGAAAGGGACAAACTGCTGTCCGCCCTTTTGAAAAAGGGCAGACTAAAAATTATGCCTTTGCCTTATTGCTATTGATAAGGAGGCTAATTTTAACAGTATTTCAAGAATGGTTTATATACGACAATAGTAATGCAAACCGAACGGGTTATCGGTTTAAGTCCTTTTAAGTCCGCAGTGAAATCTTAGAAATATCATAATTGATTTCTTGGAAAATTTTGAGTTTTAATATTTTTCTACTTTTCATTCTCTGTATAGAACGATATATGACAGAATTTATTTTAATTTTCCAAAACATGAACGTTTCAAATACGTTTTATATGCATTAAATATTGAAGGTTTATTTCACACTTTGTTTTCAAATACTAACGGTTAACCTGGGGGCATTTTTGCTAAGTTCGCATTTAATTTCTATGTTTGACTTACTCTACTTGTAATAAAATGGTAACGTGATAGGCCGCAATAAAAAAAAAAGATTTAACTTGAGCAGCCGACAACTCTGAAACTGGTTAGACTATACATAATTGCAAGTCTCATCTTCCAATACATATGTACAAAGCTGAATTTGTAAACTTTGCTTGCTCCCGTTTTTTTAACTATCAATCTGAAATTTCGAAAGTTAGCGATAAGTACAGAGCTCGTTCAATCTGCAAGGATGATACAAAGGTAAAATCATTTCGGTTCCAGAAGGGTAAGAGGTGCAGTGTTAGTAACAGTGGGTCATATTTACACAATTATTTTTTTATATAAACTCATTCAAAGTTTTAACAAAATTAATTCTTTTATTAATTTTTCAACTTGCTTTATTTCTATGTAACTGTAGCATGTGCCTTTAAAATTTCATTTGTTATATTTTCTCAAGATGGAAAAGTTATCAATGCGATTGTTCAACATTTCTAGTGGCACACTGTAAACTTAATTTAAAACAATTCATGTGACCCTACACTAGAAAGTTCCATCAAAATTCAATTGTCATACTTCACATCACCTGAAATGTATAAATGAATCTCTACGTTTATGAACACAACAGCGAATGACATAACAAATTACTTACATACATAGGAAAATTTGATCGTTCCGAATCTTGTTTTGTCCTGTAACTGCGTGTCAATAAAAGCTTTTTCGATGCACCTTTCACATTAACATTTTTGTCATCAGAAAAAAATCACAAATGATAGTTTAAAGCCTCTATTGTGGATAAAGGGACAATACGAATAAAATAATAAAAAAGAGAGAGTTTGATTTTCTGTCAGAATTTTAATAAGCTTCAGAGAATTTTCCATCATCATAGAAAATACATTTCTGCTTAAAAGCGGAATTTATATGGTTACGTGTTAATAAAAATATATTTCGATGCACCTTACATATTAACATTGTTTCTGTCATCAGAAAAATTTAACAAATGATAGTTAAAAACCCCGATTATTGATACACTTTAAGGTACAATTCGATTGAAAATAATAAAACAGTGAGCATGATTTTCTTTAAGAATGTTAGCACGTTTAAGAGCATTTTCCTTCATCATTGGCAGCCTCGACAATACATTTATGCCTTAAACGACAGCCGTTTCACTTCGGACTACCATTCTCAAGAACTCAAAAAAAGACACACTTGGTTGATATTTAACATACTTGAATTTAGTGATGATTGCATCAATTAAATTTATAAAACTGATGGTGAAAAAATAATATCACATATATTGTATTACCTTTTATATCAATAACGCAGACAAACATGCTTGAAGGTTTAAGGCCAACACAAAATATAAAAAAGAATCTGATTTGAGATTTAATTTTTATTGAATCTTTCTTGAATAAATTCATCTCAAGCTGATGTCGTAGCTCCAATCTACGACATCTGGGTTGCTAAATGAAACGCGTATACAAATGTGTTTAATCACCAAGGGGCTATTTGGCATACATTGTCGTCGTCAATTAATATTACCGAACTAAAGATGACTTCAAAGTCAACCAAAATTTTTCTTTGTTGTTTTTATTACAAACAAATCCTTTTCCTACCAACCCTACATATTCGTTGGAAGTTATTGGGCAATAATACGAGTTGTTAAATGAATTAGCATATTAACGACCCCGATTTTAACGTAGTGTTGTTGACATTTAAAGTTAAGGAAAAATATTCGCATTTGAAACAATTGTTGGTTTGTAACATTTTTTAACATACAAAATTATTTTGAACATTTTTAAAGGCGACGGTAAACGGAACATTTTAGCAGTACGTATTGCGACTTTAAGCGCCCAAGTGGGGGGGAACATTTAAGATCGTTGCAACATATAACGGCGCCACACACACACACAGCAAACATATAACAATAATAAAAATATCAAAATAATGTTTAATGTAACAAAAAGATTAATGACCGAAACAAGAACGAAAACTTATCTTCAGTTTATAATACAGTTTAAGGGAACACAAATTTCGGGAAACAGATTAAATTTAATATAATTATAAAAAGGTATACAACAAACTTTTAACAAACTCACCGTGGTTTGAACAATGCTTATCTTCGGAAAATATGTTAGAATAAAAATATAGAAAATCCGATTTATGGCCATTTTATAACATCACCAGTAAAGAAAAAATGAAAGTTCAGTGATTTTTGTTTTGTTATAACATTATACAGTACTTTAATAACGTACATCGTGAATTGTTTGCTTAAAATTTGAAAAAGTACGGAAATGGCTTTTGTGGACATTAAATATTGTGATACTCTACATATTTGATATGGAAGTGAATCGGTGCAATAAATGAACGACCACAATAATCAGTACAATATTTCAAACTGCAAAAAACAGAGAGAACTCCGAAAGAAAGGAAGGAAGGAAGGAAGGAAGGAAGGAAGGGGGGAGAAGGGAGGGACGAGGAAGGAGGGAGGGGGAGGTTTTGGATGGATGGATGGATAGTTTTCCCACTGTTGATAACCTAGTATTTTCTTCGTAAATTGTAAAAATCTTTCAGAATTAAAGAATGAATTAATTTCAATAACACATTCATTTTGTTTCATGATCAAGTTGCAGTCCCTTACTTCTATTAAATTATCAAATGGCCAGTTTTATTCTCCGTAACTCTTTTGAATACGTAATTCTACGTAATTTTTGAATGATGACGTAACTTCTTGCACTATTTAGTCCATACGATTAAGTTCTTTGAGTACTTTGATTTTTTTCCTTCGTAATTTGCCATTTCTCTGGACCGTCAATAAAGTCTTGACTTCAATTCTTTTTTCATTATTTGACACCAGAATGGCAATAAAGAATTATTCTAAAATACACAAATTTTTTCAAAGAGAACATAATTTCCGGTTTTGTGACGACATTAAATAACGCACAATACATTTGACGTCTTGTTGAAAATATTTACTAAACAAAAACATTTGAATAAAAGACTTCAGAATTTTATTTGTTTAAACCTATACACTGACAACGAAACATAAATCGTTTATATAATACCTACAAGTAAATAAATAACACCGAAAGTACTAAGTTAAAAGGTCAGTGTGACTTTTGAAGTGCATGCTCGCTTATCCAATTTATTCTAAAATCAAATTTGACTAAAGGCCTTTTATTATATTTCTTTTCTTTAACCATGTTCCTATCCCTTTACAAAAACGTTAACAACTCGCTCCAGGTTAATCGGATCATCTCGGCTATTATTCATAATCCGAAGTTTGACAGAAAGGGCCGAGAAGATGCGATTTGAATCAGGTCCGCCTGCACAACCATGCAGTTTGAGCAGCCTCTTAACAGATGTCATTTTTTTTTTTAAATCTCCCATATTTCTACAATCTTCATGAAAACTGATAAAATTCTTTAACATATTGGCGCGATAGTAACATTTCTTTCTTCATATGTGTAAGAAAAATTGACAATACACCTTGATAAGATTTTTATATACATTTATATTAATATTTTGTCAATATAAATTACATAGTAATTTTCGGTAAGGGAGGCAAATATTGTAAAAATCGGGACCTATCTATAATATTATAGTACAGTGCATGATCGTATTTTAGCCTGCTAGATTTTACTTCAAAATATGTGACCTCCAACATTTCATGCGTGATTTATAGCATTTTATTGCCTATTAATTAAACGTAAGTGTGATATTTACAATATATTGTTAGCCATGAAATGTTTATAAGTAATAAATACACCATAAAACTGTTTGTTCAAATTCACGGACGTGGATACGCTTTGATACTTTTGGGGGCAAATTTGCTGTGTGTTTTTTTTGTTTTTTTTTGTCAACACAATGTACCGTATCTCTTTATTATTAAAAGACATTTAAGCCGTACAAAGATGTATTGTTAAGCAAGATGTTACGGAATATTTTATTTCAATGACATTGTAATTTAGATTTTATTAAATTGAATCTAAAACAGCAAACGTAATTTTATATCATAGTAGCTGCTTAGTATTTGAAAATGTTTAAGTAGAATAACAAAATTTTAATCATTACACATTTTACTTTGGTAAATCGGCTAAATTTAATCAGTCTAGTAAATCAACAGATTTATACAATTTATTTTAAACACTAAATTGCTGATGTGTTTGACTGAGTAAAACTGAAAAGGAACACACTAAGTATAAGTAAGTGTTTATAAGTAAGCATTTACAATATTAAATTGATCAAGAACGGCGCAGCAATTTAGTGTTTGACTGAGTAGAACTGAAAAAAAAACCCACACCAAATGCTTATAATATAAATTCTAAAAGTTGACAGTCATTAGTTTTAAACAATAAATATATCAAAATGATAGAAGCATCAGTCAACAGAGGCGACAAACTAGTGCAAAACAAAACAAAAAACACACACAAATAATAGTAGTAAAATACTCAAATTTCATCATTGCCAACAACTATGTACTTAAACTAGAGCCATATTTGTTCATGTTTAATTCTGTTTGTACATATTTAATTTTATTTGTACATGTTGAATTTGAAACATGGTACACGTAATTTAATTACCTGTTAAATATATAACAAAATACCTTTTATACTGCTACGAAAATGATACATATTATTAAGTGCATAACAATATTTATTTAAATCAAGCAAATAGTACACATTTTGAGGCCACGGAAATTTAAAGCAAATATCATTAAATGATTAATAAAATAATAAATAATAAATGAATTGAATAAATACTTTAATAATAAAAATAAAGATCATTTATTTGAAATTATACACAAATGTAAATGCATATAAAGAAAGTTTACGTATTGTTGGATTGATTGTACGTACGAAACAATCTGCATTTTGTTAAAAATTCTGAATTTTTTACCTTTGAATTATTTACAAAAGAGGATTAATTAAATATTAAACAAAATAGAGATCAATAGTTTGAACTTTAACAAATTCAAATACGTGTGTATAAAAATTACACATTGTTGAAGGATACTTCATATTGATTGTTCGTACGAAACACGGAATTTTGTAATGTGTTAAACAATGTGAATTTTTGACCTTTGATGTTTGATATATTGTCATCTAAAATATGCTTTCTTATCGAGTCATCGATCTCTATCGTATTCAAAGACGATAAAGAGTCAGAAATGTATGTCCCGAAAAATGACAGTGCGTTTAAATTGGAATCTATGATCCGTATTTTTGTTTGAAAATTTGAATAGTTTATCAAAAGCACCACAAAGGTCCCATCTTTATACACCACAGTAAGGATATTTGTTTTCGAATCAAATTTGACATCTGAAATATTAAGATCACTTTTATCAAATCGGAAGCCATTCACATCTCTTAAAAACTTTTCTTTCATTTTCCTACGTTTTGGTTTATTCTGCCGTCTTAGCTGTCGATTGTCATGATACGGGAAGAATGTACCGTCTTCTTGTATTGTCAAAACTTTCCAGTTCGGTTTTCGGAAGATTGATAGTTCAGCAAACGAATTATTTTGTATTTTTCCGTTCATTCTAAACATCATGCCATCTTTTGTCACATCCTTACTGTCCCCTTTCCGTGCAATGTACACCTTGCCGCGAATTTTCCATTGAGGAGTCTTTCCAACAAACATGGCTTTTGTTCTCTCAACATTTACTGAACGTGCGAGTGCCATATAATCAATTTCAATCGCGGAAATATCATCATCAAAATACAGATGTAGCTGATTCTCGAGTAAAGGTGAAACCGATCTTGTTGGGATGGTCCATGATAAAGTTTGCGTTCCAATTTTCAATGTTTTATACTGTGTATTAGAGAATATCTTTTTTGCCCGATCAATATAACTCAGTCCGATGGTGACCTTATTTGTGACGTTAATCAAACCAAGATTGAAATTTAGTTTTATTTGCTTTAAGTTTATGTGTTTAGGTAAAACGTATCGTAGAATTAGATGTTTGGTTTTATTTGAATCTATCACACCGGGAAACGATGATGATTTACCAATCTCGCCAACATGATCTGTAACATCATAGTCAATTGTTTCTTTCATAACTACAGGTCCAAGTTCAGCATTACGATTGTCGTGGTTTCCAATCTGCCATATAGAATTTTCATTGCACATGTTCCCTTTATTTACTACATCATTCTTTTTTTCAGTTTGACGATTTGAAAGTCTTGTTATAATTTCTACGCCCTTTAATGATTCAATGTTGAATCCTATATCAACATTATGAGAGTTAATGCACTTTGTCAGAAAACTTTTTTGTTCGAGAAATGGTAACATTGCCCTTACCGTCACTGTTTGTTTAGGACCGTCCGTCAATGTACTTGATGCGGTTGGTTTTTGAGTAGTTTCTTTTTCAGTGGTGATAGAAGCGTTAGAAACATCCCTCATTTGCGTAGGAGTCACAGTCGGTTGCGTTCCTTTATCAATTACTGTATTTTCCGTTGATAATTTGTTTGTAAACTGTGCTGAGATAGGCGTAGTTTTCTTTTCCCCTTGCATTGTTTGGTTTATTACTGATGCCGTTAATGCATTGGAAGTTGGTTTTAAAAGTGTTTTATCCATATCACTCAATTTCGTTGTAGTCATCAAAGCTATATCAGTCAAATTCGATTCCATTAACTTGCTTATGGTCGTCGGATCTTTAGTGGTTAATGTTGTCAACATCAGAGGCATTATTGTATGCTGTGTAGCATTTCCTTTTCCTGCTTCGTGCTCATCATTTACGTTTATCATTAATGTGGAAGTAGCTTGCGTAGTATGTTTTTTAGTACTATCAGTTATTCGCAATTCTTTATCTGATGAATCTGTTGGTTTTCCTACCGTAACATCTAAATCTAATAACTGTTCTACAGCCGTTGATTCAGCTGCCTGCTCAATTGATGATGGTTTAGTTGACATTTTAAATGTTAATGGTATTGCTGTTTTAAAAATTGTCAAATCATCTGATACTGATTGTTTTGTTGTCGGAGATTCTGTAGTTTGATTATTTGATGGTGTCTTTGTGGCTATTTGCAATACTGTAATAGTTGCTGGTGGATCATGTCCTTTGTCAGATCCTCCTGGTGTTGTTTGTGTCGTTAAAGGTGGAGTAACTAACTTTTCGACAGTGATCACTTCAAGTATTCGTTCCATTAATTGTGTATTAGTAGCTTTATGCGCAGTTGTTATAACTCCTCTTTGTGTGTGAGACAAAATTGTTGTTGGTTTGACTGTAGCTGATCTTTTCACAGTCGTGAATTCAGCGGCTTGTTTTGTAGGCATCTTGA